TGGTCTGGAGTGATTGGAGGGCATGGGCCAGATCAGCTCAATAACAACGGTAGGAGGCTGCTAGATTTTTGTGCAGCCCATGGGCTTGTAATTACCAACACGCTGTTCCGGCATCGGCGCATCCACACAACATCATGGATGCATGCCGGGTCCAAGCAAGAACATCTGCTGGACTACATAGTGACGGACCAGCGAATGCGAGCCCATGTCCTTGACACCAGGACCTACCGTGGAGCTGATCTGCCCTCTGACCATCGACTAGTCATCTGTAAGATGCGCCTGCCATTCTTCCACTCCGGTGGTGGGTGTACACCCAGGACCCCATTCCAACCTAAAGTGGCCTGGTCTCAGTTATCTGATGAAAGTTGCAAGCGAGAATTTCATCATCGCTTGCGGCTGGGATTGGCATCGTCCCCGACTCCTCCTGATGTCGAGGGTAAATGGGCGAGGTTTAGGACTGTGACTCATGCAGCTGCAAGGGCTGCTTTGGGTACGCGGTCCAGACCTCCCCAGACACCCTGGATGACAGAGGAGTTGTTCAGGATGGTTGAGAAAAAGCGACAGGCCCACTGTCATCGGCTACAGAATCCCACGTCAGAGAATGAGGAGGCTTACCGCAGCCTTCGCTCGGAGGTTCGGAGAGCCGTGAGGCGCTGCAAGGATGGGTGGTGGTCGCGGGTTGCTGAGGAGATGGAGTCTGCCTCAGTGGCCCGTGATCACAAATCGCTATTTAACTCCATCAAAAAAGTAACCTGCAGCGCCACACCTATTACCATCATTAGGGGAAAAAACGGTGATCCAATTTCCGACCCCCAGGAACAGGTTCGCAGATTTGCTGAGCATTTCTGTGAGGTCCTGGGGGAGGGAAAATCCCATCAGCCAGGAAAACATCGTGGCACAAAGTGAGGATGACCCTGCTGAGGCTGCGGTGCCTCAAATATTGGATGAAGTCACCCCCTGTGAGTGGCTGGCTGAGGTGCCATCTGCTGAGGAAGTATTGAAGGCGATCCGGAGTCTGAGACCAGGAAAGGCAGCGGGCAGAGATGATCTCCCAAGCGAAATGCTGAGGGAGGGTGGCGTTTGTGCACAGACTGCCCTATATGACATCATAACAACAGTCTGGACCACTGGACGGGTTCCGCAGGATTGGAAGGATGCCCTGGTGGTCCCCCTTTTTAAGAAGGGGGACCGCACAGACTGTAACAACTACAGGGGCATCTCACTCCTCAGTGTGCCGGGAAAGGTCCTGGCAAGGATTATTCAGCATCGCCTTGCCAGGCACGCTGAGGAGAGGCTTGCGGAGCCCCAATGCGGTTTCAGGAAAGGGCGGTCCTGCACAGATGCCATATTTTCTGTCCGTCTGCTACAGCAGAGGTGTAGGGAATTCCAACAAGACCTACATCTCTGCTTTATTGACCTGGTCAAGGCCTATGATACCATCAGTAGGCCTGGGCTCTGGGTCGTTCTTCGTGCTTTTGGAGTACCTGACCCTCTGCTCACGATCATTAAGGACCTTCATGATGGTGAGCGGGCCCGGGTAAAACTACGTGGCCGGGAGTCAGAGCCATTCCCTGTACACCTTGGGGTGCGACAGGGATGTCCTCTGGCTCCCACATTATTTAACATCTATTTTGACCACGTAGTTCGTGAAGCCTTCAATAGCTGTACCGGGGGAATCTCCATATGGTACAGATATAATGGGAGGCTAATCGATGCCCGGGTGCGGTCAAGGGATGGCTCCCTATTGCTCAACCACGTTATGTATGCTGATGACTTGGTAATAGCTGCTCAGTCAGAGGAGGAGTTGGAGACGCTGCTGCTGAGACTGGAGCGTGCCACTAAGAGGTGGGGCCTTACCATCAGCCCCACCAAAACTAAGCACCTGCCTGGGTATTTTGTACCATCGGACACTCCACCCCCACAACTCCCAATCGGTGATGGGGCAGTTGTGGAGAGAGTGGAGAGTTTCCCATACCTGGGCAGTGTGCTTATGACTGGCTCCAGTTTAACAGCAGAGGTCTCACTCCGAATCAGTCGAGCGGCAATATCTTTTCATCGGTTGCGTAACGCTGTGTGGAAGCTACCTGGTCTGTCGCTCCGCACTAAGCTTCAGGTCTTCTCGGCCACGGTCATTCCCTCCCTTCTCTACGCTTGCGAAACGTGGACCCCCCTAATGGAACATCTTCGCCGGTTAGAAACATTTAGGCTGACCTGCCTACGATCCATCCTGGGTTTAACCAGACTGGATTGTGTGAGGAGCTCACAAATCCTTGAAAGATCTGGGCAGGGTCCCATCGGTGAGCTCCTCCGGCAGGCAAGGCTGCGATGGCTGGGTCATGTAGCCCGCATGCCCAGCCACCGCATGCCGAAACAGCTTTTGTTTGGCCGGATTGAGGGGGCTAAGCGGGCGCGGCACGGGCTAGAGAAGAGATGGAGTGATGTGGTACAGGAGGACGTGGAGCTGAGTGGACTTGCCGATGACTGGTACCAGCGGTGTCAAGATCGGCCTCTGTGGAGGAGGCTCGTGAAGGATGCTACTGGGCAGTTGGAGGCAGTCGCCCTCCAACAACAACGGAGGGCGGAGGAGCGACGCTCACAACAGCGAGCGGAGCGCCGGGTGGCTAAAGCACAGCAGGTTGGCACAGTAGGGGGCACAGGTGGTGCATCAGCCAGTCATCTCAGTCAGTCGACCCGTGGCACCTGGGTCTGCCCCGTGACCTCCTGCCAGCGGGCGTTCGACACTTCACGTGGCCTCAGGGTGCACATAGCCTGGCACAAGCGTCGTGGTGACGTCACCGCCACTTAGTGGCGAATGGCGGTTGTTGTTGTTGTTGTGTGTGTCTGTGTGTGTGTCTGTGTGTGTCTGTGTGTCTGTGTGTCTGTGTGTCTGTGTGTGTGTGTCTGTGTGTGTGTCTGTGTGTGTGTCTGTGTGTGTGTGTGTGTGTGTGTGTGTCTGTGTGTGTGTCTGTGTGTCTGTGTGTGTGTGTCTGTCTGTGTGTGTGTGTCTGTGTGTGTGTGTCTGTGTGTGTCTGTGTGTCGTGTGTGTCTGTGTGTGTGTCTGTGTGTCGTGTGTCTGTGTGTGTGTCTGTGTGTGTGTCTGTGTGTGTCTGTGTGTGTCTGCGTGTGTGTCTGTGTGTGTGTCTGTGTCGTGTGTGGTGTGCCGTGTGTCATGTGTGTGTCTGTGTGTTGTGTGTGTGTGTCTGTGTGTGGTGTGTCTGTGTGTGTCTGTGTGTGTGTGTGTGTCTGTGTGTGTCTGTGTGGTGTGTGTGTCTGTGTGTGGTGTGTATGTGTGTCGTGTGTCTGTGTGTCGTGTGTCTGTGTGTGTCTGTGTGTGTGTGGTGTGTCTGTGTGTGTGTGTCTGTGTGTGTGTCTGTGTGTGTGTCTGTGTGTGTGTCTGTGTGTGTGTGTCTGTGTGTGTGTCTGTGTGTGTGTCTGTGTGTGTGTGTCTGTGTGTCGTGTGTCTGTGTGCTGTGTGTGTGTGTGTCGTGTGTCTGTGTGCTGTGTGTGTGTGTGTCGTGTGTCTGTGTGCTGTGTGTGTGTGTGTCTGTGTGTGTGTCTGTGTGTGTGTGTGTCTGTGTGTGTGTCTGTGTGTGTGTCTGTGTGGTGTGTGTGTGTGGTGTGTGTCTGTGTGGTGTGTCGTGTGTCATGTGTGTGTCTGTGTGTTGTGTCTGTGTGTGGTGTGTCTGTGTGTGTCTGTGTGTCGTGTGTGTCTGTGTGGTGTGTCTGTGTGTTGTGTCTGTGTTGTGTCGTATGTGTGTGTCTATGTCTGTGTGTGGTGTGTCTTGTGTCGTGTGTGTTGTGTGTGTGTCGTGTCGTGTGTGTGTGTGTGTGTTGTGTCTCTGTGTGTGTGTGTTGGGTGTTTGTGTTGTGTCGTGTGTGTTGTGTGTCTGTGTGTGTTGTGTGTTTGTGTTGTGTCGTGTGTGTGTGTGTGTGTCTGTGTGTTGTGTCGTGATGGGGCAGTTGTGGAGAGAGTGGAGAGTTTCCCATACCTGAGCAGTGTGCTCATGACCGGCACCTGTTTGACAGCAGAGGTCTCGCTCCGAATCAGTCGAGCGGCAATATCTTTCCATCAGTTGCGTAACGCTGCTGTGTGGAAGCTACCTGGTCTGTCGCTCCACGCCAAGCTTCAGGTCTTCTCGGCCACGGTCATTCTCTCAGTTTTGATTTGAAGCTTTCGTGACTGCAGGAATCCATACTCTCTGGTTCTTTGGGTAAAGTCACGTAGACCACGGACGCTTGTGTTGCGACTGCAACGTCGTGTTTTATTTTATTAGTATGCCCTCAGTTCTCTACACTTGGGAAACGTGGACCCCCTTAATGGAACATCTTCGCCGGTTAGAAACATTTAGGCTGGCCTGCCTACGATCCATCCTGGGTTTAACCTGCAGGCTGGATTGTGTGAGGAGCTCACAAATCCTTGAAATCTGGACAGTCCCATCGGTGAGCTCCTCCGGCAGGCAAGGCTGCGATGGCTGGGTCATGTAGCCCGCATGCCCAGCCACCGCATGCCGAAACAGCTTTTGTTCGGCCAGATAGAGGGGGCTAAACGGGCGCGGCAAGGGCTAGAGAAGAGATGGAGTGATGTGGTACAGGAGGACGTGGAGCTGAGTGGACTTGCCGATGACTGGTACCAGCGGTGTCAAGATCGGCCTCTGTGGAAAAGGCTCGTGAAGGACGCTATTGGGCAGTTGGAGGCAGTCGCCCTCCAACAACAATGGAGGGCGGAGGAGCGACGCTCACAACAACGAACGGAGCGCCGGGTGGCTAAAGCACAGCAGATTGCCACAGTAGGGGGCACAGGTGGTGCATCAGCCACTCATCTCAGTCATGCGACCCGTGGCACCTGCTGGGTCTGGTCCGTGACCTCCTGCCAGCGGGCGTTCGACACTTCACTTGGCCTTAACGTGCACATAGCCTGGCACAAGCGTCGTGATGATGTCACCGCGACCTCGTGGCGAATGGCGGTTGTTGTTGTTGGTGATGATGGTGGTGGTGGCGGTGATGGTGGTGATGGTAGTGGTGATGGCAGTGATGGTGGTGGTGATGGTAGTGATGGTTGTGTCTCACGTAGAGCTGTTGGACGACGTGATGATGGATGTGATGATGGTGGTGATGGTGTCTCACATAGAGCTGTTGGACGACGTGATGATGGATGTGGTGGTGATGGAGGTGATGGTGGTGATGGTGATGATGGTGGTGGTGGTGTCTCACATAGAGCTGTTGGATGACGTGATGATGGATGCGGTGATGGTGGTGATGGTGGTGATGTTTGTGTCTCACATAGAGCTGTTGGACGACGTGATGATGGATGTGATGATGGTGGTGATGGTGTCTCACATAGAGCTGTTGGACGAAGTGATGATGGATGCGGTGGTGGTGGTGCTGATGGTGATGATGGTGGTGATGGTGATGATGGTGGTGATGGTGGTGATGATGGTGGTGATGGTGTCTCACATAGAGCTGTTGGACGACGTGATGATGGATGTGATGATGGTGGTGATGATGGTGATGATGGTGGTGATGGTGGTGACGGTGTCTCACATAGAGCTGTTGGACGACGTGATGATGGATGTGATGATGGTGGTGATGATGGTGATGATGGTGGTGGTGGTGTCTCATATAGAGCTGTTGGATGACGTGATGATGGATGTGATGATGGTGGTGATGGTGGTGATGGTGTCTCATATAGAGCTGTTGGATGACGTGATGATGGATGTGATGATGGTGGTGATGGTGTCTCACATAGAGCTGTTGGACGACGTGATGATGGATGTGATGATGGTGATGATGGTGGTGATGGTGTCTCATATAGAGCTGTTGGATGACGTGATGATGGATGTGATGATGGTGGTGGTGATGATGGTGGTGATGGTGTCTCACATAGAGCTGTTGGACGACGTGATGATGGATGCGTGTAATCGCTACAAGGGGCTGGACTACGCCGTGCAGCCAACCCTCTTCCTCGAGTTCCACGGCACCCCGGCCAGCGTGCAGGAGCAGATACGCACCGCCGGTGAGCCGTGCCTGCCGCGGCACCCATGCTGGTGGTGGTGGTCACGCTGGTGGTGGTGGTAACGGTGGTGGTTGTGATAGTGGTGGTGGTGGTAACGGTGGTGGCGATAGTGGTGGTGGTAACGGTGAAAAGTGGTAACAACGGTGGTGGTAATGGTGTAGTGGTGGTGGTGGTGGTCACGCTGGTGGTGGTAACGGTGGTGGTAACGGTGGTGGTTGTGGTAGTGGTGGTGGTAACGGTGGTGGCGATAGTGGTGGTGGTGACGGTGGTAACGGTGGTTGTGGGAGTAACGGTGGTGGTGGTGGTGGTGGTGATGGTAACGGTGGTGACGGTGGTGGTGGTGGTAACGGTGGTGACGACGGTGGTGGTGGTGGTGGTGGTAACGGTGGTGGTGGTGGTGGTGGTGACGACGGTGGTGGTGGTGGTGCCAGGGGTAAGGGGAAGGGTGGCAGCTATGTAGTGACGAGGTGACGCTGCTGCTGTGTGTATAGAGGAGGTGTTGTCTGGCTATGTTGTGACGCTACTGCTGTGTATAGAGGAGGTGTTGTCCGGCTATGTTGTGACGTTGATGCTGTATGTATAGAGGAGGTGCTGTCTGGCTATGTTGTGACGCTGCTGTGTATAGAGGAGGTGCTGTCTGGCTATGTTGTGATGCTGCTGTGTATAGAGGAGGTGTTGTCTGGCTATGTTGTGACGCTGCTGTGTATAGAGGAGGTGCTGTCTGGCTATGTTGTGATGCTGTGTGTATAGAGGAGGTGCTGTCTGGTTATGTTGTGACGCTGTGTATAGAGGAGGTGTTGTCTGGCTATGTTGTGACGCTGCTGTGTATAGAGGAGGTGCTGTCTGGCTATGTTGTGACCCTGCTGCTGTGTATAGAGGAGGTGTTGTCTGGCTATGTTGTGATGCTGCTGTGTATAGAGGAGGTGTTGTCTGGCTATGTTGTGACGCTGCTGTGTATAGAGGAGGTGCTGTCTGGCTATGTTGTGACGCTGCTGCTGCTGTGTATAGAGGAGGTGCTGTCTGGCTATGTTGTGACGCTGCTGCTGTGTATAGAGGAGGTGCTGTCTGGCTATGTTGTGACGCTGCTGTGTATAGAGGAGGTGTTGTCTGGCTATGTTGTGACGCTGCTGTGTGTATAGAGGAGGTGTTGTCTGGCTATGTTGTGACGCTGCTGTGTATAGAGGAGGTGCTGTCTGGCTATGTTGTGACGCTGCTGTGTATAGAGGAGGTGTTGTCTGGCTATGTTGTGACGCTACTGCTGTGTATAGAGGAGGTGTTGTCTGGCTATGTTGTGACGCTGCTGTGTGTATAGAGGAGGTGTTGTCTGGCTATGTTGTGACGCTGCTGTGTATAGAGGAGGTGTTGTCTGGCTATGTTGTGACGCTGCTGTGTATAGAGGGGGTGCTGTCTGGCTATGTTGTGACGCTGCTGTGTATAGAGGAGGTGTTGTCTGGCTATGTTGTGACGCTGCTGTGTATAGAGGAGGTGCTGTCTGGCTATGTTGTGATGCTGCTGTGTATAGAGGAGGTGTTGTCTGGCTATGTTGTGACGCTGCTGTGTATAGAGGAGGTGCTGTCTGGCTATGTTGTGACGCTGTGTGTATAGAGGAGGTGCTGTCTGGTTATGTTGTGACGCTGTGTATAGAGGAGGTGTTGTCTGGCTATGTTGTGACGCTGCTGTGTATAGAGGAGGTGCTGTCTGGCTATGTTGTGACCCTGCTGCTGTGTATAGAGGAGGTGTTGTCTGGCTATGTTGTGATGCTGCTGTGTATAGAGGAGGTGTTGTCTGGCTATGTTGTGACGCTGCTGTGTATAGAGGAGGTGCTGTCTGGCTATGTTGTGACGCTGCTGCTGCTGTGTATAGAGGAGGTGCTGTCTGGCTATGTTGTGACGCTGCTGCTGTGTATAGAGGAGGTGCTGTCTGGCTATGTTGTGACGCTGCTGTGTATAGAGGAGGTGTTGTCTGGCTATGTTGTGACGCTGCTGTGTGTATAGAGGAGGTGTTGTCTGGCTATGTTGTGACGCTGCTGTGTATAGAGGAGGTGCTGTCTGGCTATGTTGTGACGCTGCTGTGTATAGAGGAGGTGTTGTCTGGCTATGTTGTGACGCTACTGCTGTGTATAGAGGAGGTGTTGTCTGGCTATGTTGTGACGCTGCTGTGTGTATAGAGGAGGTGTTGTCTGGCTATGTTGTGACGCTGCTGTGTATAGAGGAGGTGTTGTCTGGCTATGTTGTGACGCTGCTGTGTATAGAGGGGGTGCTGTCTGGCTATGTTGTGACGCTGCTGTGTATAGAGGAGGTGCTGTCTGGCTATGTTGTGATGCTGTGTGTATAGAGGAGGTGTTGTCTGGCTATGTTGTGACGCTGTGTGTATAGAGGAGGTGTTGTCTGGCTATGTTGTGACGCTGCTGTGTATGGAGGAGGTGCTGTCTGGCTATGTTGTGACGCTGTGTGTATAGAGGAGGTGTTGTCTGGCTATGTTGTGACGCTGTGTGTATAGAGGAGGTGTTGTCTGCCTATGTTGTGACGCTGTGTGTATAGAGGAGGTGTTGTCTGGCTATGTTGTGACGCTGCTGTGTATAGAGGAGGTGCTGTCTGGCTATGTTGTGACACTGCTGTGTATAGAGGAGGTGTTGTCTGCCTATGTTGTGACGCTGTGTGTATAGAGGAGGTGTTGTCTGGCTATGTTGTGACGCTGCTGTGTGTATAGAGGAGGTGTTGTCTGGCTATGTTGTGACGCTGTGTGTATAGAGGAGGTGTTGTCTGGCTATGTTGTGACGCTGCTGTGTGTATAGAGGAGGTGCTGTCTGGCTATGTTGTGACGCTGTGTGTATAGAGGAGGTGTTGTCTGGCTATGTTGTGACGCTGCTGTGTGTATAGAGGAGGTGTTGTCTGGCTATGTTGTGACGCTGCTGCTGCTGTGTATAGAGGAGGTGCTGTCTGGCTATGTTGTGACGCTACTGTGTATAGAGGAGGTGTTGTCTGGCTATGTTGTGACGCTGTGTGTATAAAGGAGATGTTGTCTGGCTATGTTGTGACGCTGCTGTGTATAGAGGAGGTGTTGTCTGGTTATGTTGTGACGCTGCTGTGTATAGAGGAGGTGCTGTCTGGCTATGTTGTGATGCTGTGTCTATAGAGGAGGTGTTGTCTGGCTATGTTGTGACGCTGCTGTGTATAGAGGAGGTGCTGTCTGGCTATGTTGTGACGCTGCTGTGTATAGAGGAGGTGCTGTCTGGCTATGGTGCTGGGCAGCTGCGCTGGGCGCTGGCTGCGTCTGAGCGGGCGCGGCTGTGGGAGGCGAGGCACCAGGCCTACTACGCGGCACGCGCACTCAGGCCTGGCTCTGTGGTGAGGGCATCGCCACCACTAACACCACTATCACCACCACTACTACCACCACTATCACTACCATCATCACCACCACTATCACTATCACTCACTCACCACTACCACCACTATCACCACCACTACCACCACTATCACCACCACTACCACCACCACTATCACTACCACTATCACTACCACTATCACTACCACTATCACTACCATCACCACTTCCACCACCACTATCACTACCATCACCACTACCACCACTATCACCACCACTACCACCACCACTATCACTACCATCATCACTACCACCACCACTATCACTCCTACTCACTCACCACTACCGCCACTCACCACCACCACTATCACGACCACCACTACCACCACCACTATCACCACCACTCACTCACCACTACCACCACTATCACTACCATCACCCATTTCCACCACCACCACTACCACCATCACTATCACCACTATCACTACTACCACCACTATCACCACCACTATCACCACCACTATCACTACCACTACCATCACCACTATCACTACCATCACCACTACCACCACTATCACTACCACTACCATCACCACCACTATCACCACCACTATCACTACCATCATCACTACCACCACTATCACTACCACTACCATCACCACTATCACTACCATCACCACTATCACCACCACTACCACTCTCACTACCACTCACTCACCACCACCACTACCACCACCACTTTCACCACCACTCACTCACCACCACCACTACCACCACCACTATCATTATCACTACCACTATCACCACTATCACCACCACTATGACTACCATCACCACTACCACCACTATCACTACCATCACCACTATCACTACCATCACCACCACTACCACCACTATCACCACCACTACCACTCACTCACCACTCACCACCACCACTACCACCACCACTACCACCACCACTATCACCACCACTCACTCATCACTACCACCACTATTACTACCATCACCACTACCACCACTATCACCACCACTATCACTACCACTCTCACTACCACTGCAACCACAACTACCACAACTACCACAATCACTGCTATCACCACCACCACCACAACTACCACAACCACCACAACTACCACAACCACCACAACTACCACAACCACCACAACTACCACAACTATCACTACCACCACTATCACTACCACCACCGCATACACCACAATCACAACTGCCACCAATAACATGAACAGTCGCAAGCAACATCACCAACATCTTCTTGTTATAATATATTGCTGCTGATGACGATGTTGATGATGGTGACGGTGGTGGTGATGATGACGATGTTGATGATGACGATGTTGATGATGACGATGTTGATGATGACGATGTTGATGATGATAATGACGGTGGTGGTGATGATGACGGTGTTGCTGATGACAGTGGTGGTGATGATGACGATGTTGATGATAACGGTGGTGGTGGTGATGATGACGATGTTGCTGATGACGATGTTGCTGATGATGACGGTGGTGATGATGACGATGTTGGTGATGATGACGGTGGTGATGATGACGATGTTGGTGATGATGACGGTGGTGGTGATGATGACGATGTTGATGATGATGACGGTGGTGGTGCTGATGACGGCGGTGGTGATAATGACGATGTTGATGATAACGGTGGTGGTGGTGATGATGACGATGTTGCTGAGGATAACGATGTTGCTGATGTTGATGATGACGATGTTGATGATGACGATGTTGATGATGACGATGTTGATGATGACGATGTTGATGACGATGTTGCTGATGACGATGTTGACGATGATGATGACGATGTTGATGACGATGTTGATGATGATGACGATGATGATGACGATGTTGATGACGATGTTGCTGATGACGATATTGACGATGATGATGATGACGACGATGTTGATGACGGTGGTGATGACGTCAGGGCTACGTGACGGACGTCTGCGTTCCCATCTCCAAGCTCCCGGAGGTGATCACCACGACGAAGGAAGACCTCATCCAGAGCCGCCTCACAGGTTCCACACACAGGCAAAGCTCCCCCGGGTAGCCTCTGGCAGGCTGTAGGGGCAAGTGCTGTCAGTAGCGAGTAGCACCACCTATAGATACAGACAAAGTTCCCCCGTGTAGCCTCTACCAGGCTGTAGGGGCAAGTGCTGTTAGTGGCGAGTAGCACCACCTATAGATACACAGACAAAGCTCCCCCGTGTAGCCTCTGACAGGCTGTAGGGGCAAGTGCTGTCAGTAGCGAGTAGCACCACCTATAGATACACAGACAAAGCTCCCCCGGGTAGCCTCTGGCAGGCTGTAGGGGCAAGTGCTGTCAGTAGTGAGTAGCACCACCTATAGATACACGGACAAAGCTCCCCCGGGTAGCCTCTAGCAGGCTGTAGGGGCAAGTGATGTGAGTATAGAGTAGCACCACCTATAGACACACAGACAAAGCTCCCCCGGGTAGCCTCTGGCAGGCTATAGGGGCAAGTGCTGTCAGCGAGTAGCACCACCTATAGATACACAGACAAAGCTCCCCCGGGTAGCCTCTGGCGGGCTGTAGGGGCAAGTGCTGTCAGTGGCGAGTAGCACCACCTATAGACACACAGACAAAGCTCCCCCGTGTAGCCTCTAGCAGGCTGTAGGGGCAAGTGCTGTCAGTAGCGAGTAGCACCACCTATAGATACACAGACAAAGCTCCCCCGTGTAGCCTCTGGCGGGCTGTAGGGGCAAGTGCTGTTAGTAGCGAGTAGCACCACCTATAGATACACAGACAAAGGTCCCCCGTGTAGCCTCTAGCAGGCTGTAGGGGCAAGTGCTGTCAGTAGCGAGTAGCACCACCTATAAACACACAGACAAAGCTCCCCCGTGTAGCCTCTAGCAGGCTGTAGGGGCAAGTGCTGTCAGTAGCGAGTAGCACCACCTATAGACACACAGACAAAGCTCCCCCGGGTAGCCTCTGGCAAGCTGTAGGGGCAAGTGCTGTCAGTGGCGAGTAGCACCACCTATAGATACACAGACAAAGCTCCCCCGGGTAGCCTCTAGCAGGCTGCAGGGGCAAGTGCTGCTAGTGGCGAGTAGCAGCACCCTATAGACACAGACAAAGCTCCCCCGGGTAGCCTCTAGCAGGCTGTAGGGGCAAGTGCTGTTAGGAGTGAGTAGCAGCACCTATAGATACACAGACACAGTTCCCCCGGGTAGCCTCTAGCAGGCTGTAGGGGCAAGTGCTGTTAGGAGTGAGTAGCAGCAGCACTTACTCAAAGGAACCACCACCACCGTTACCACCACCACCGTCACCACCATCACCACCATCACCACCACCACCACCATCTCCACCGTCACCACCACCACCACCACCGTCACCACCGTCACCACCGTCACCACTGTCACCGTCACCACCACAATCACCACCACAATCACCACCACCATCGTCACCACCACAATCACCACCACCGTCACCACCACCGTCACCACCATCACCGTCACCACCACCACCGTCACCACCACCACCGTCACCACCGTCACTACCACCACCACCGTCACCACCACCACCGTCACCACCACAATCACCGTCATCATCATCGCCACCACCACCGCCGCCACTAGCCCCCCTGAGAGCACCCTGCCATGCTCTCTCCGCTGCTGGGCTGTGCAGGCCCCATCGCGGGCCACGTGGGAGACGGAAACTTCCATTGCATCCTCGCGTTCAGCGAGCACGGGGAGCAGGAGCGGCAGCGCATCACGGAGTTCTGCCATCGCCTCGTCACGTACGTACACACACACACGTACACACACACATACACACACATGTACACACACACGTACACACACATACACACACACGTACACACACACGTACACACGCATACACACACACGTACACACACACGTACACACGCGTACACCCACACAGACACACACACGTAAACACGCGTACACCCACACAGACACACACACAGACACACACACGTGCATACACACACACGCAGACACACACGCATACACGTACACACGTACGCACGCATACACACACATACATACACACACGTATACACACGCACGCATACACATACATACACACACGCAGACACACATACACACACGCATACACATACATACACACACGCAGACACACATACACACACGCATACATACATACACACATACACACGTACATACACACACGCACACCAAAACCATAACCCACCATTCACCATGAAGTGAAGGTGACGTCACCACGGCATCTGTGCCAGGCCAAGTGCACTTTGAGGCCACATGAAGTGTCGAACGGTGATGGTAGTGACGGTGGAGGTGGTGACGGTGGTGGTGGTGGTGGTATTGACGGTGGTGGTGACGGTGTTGGTGGTAGTGGTGGTGGCTGTGGCGGTGGTGGCTGTGGTGGTAGTGACGGTGGTGGTGGTGGTATTGACGGTGGTGATGGTGTTGACGGTGGTGGTGGTATTGACGGTGGTGGTGGCTATGGTGGTGACGGTTGTGGCGACGGTGGTGATGGTGGTGGTGGTGGTGGTGACGCAGGCGGGCGCTGGCGGTGGGCGGGACGTGCACCGGTGAGCACGGTGTCGGTGTGGGCAAGAGAGGTTACCTCCTGGACGAGGTGGGGGAAACGGGGCTGGAGGTGATGAGGCAGCTGAAGCGTGCCCTGGATCCCAAGGGCCTCATGAATCCCGGCAAGGTGGTGTGACGAGGATCGGTAAATCCATCTGTGCGCGCGGTGTGTCTCTGTGTGCACGCGGTGCGTCTCTGTGTCTGCGCGTCTCTGTGTGTGCGTGCGAGTGTGTGTGTCTGCGTGTGTTGATTGTGCGTGTGTCTTGTGTGTGTTGATTGTGTGTGTGTGTGCCTGTGTGTAGTGCAGCGGTTAGCGCTACGCTGCGCTACGAACCTGGTGACCTGGGTTCGATTCCCGCTCACGGCCAACACCATCGATGATGATTATCTGAACCGGCCCTGGGCCTCCCCTAGGTCAACTCAGTTTCAAATGAGTACCTGGTGTAGTGGTGTGTTGTAAACATCGCCACTGGGGAGACAAAGGCGGCCGGGCGTGGTGTTGGCCACCCACCCCCTCGTGTGCCGTGTCGGCCTTCGCTGACAGCACTTGCCCCAACAGTCTGTTAAGGCTACACGGGGGACCTTTGTATGTATGGGGAGCAGTGGTGCAGCGGTTAGCGCGATGCGCTAAGAATCCACGCACCGATTCAGTCACTGAGTCGGTCACTCACTCGGTCACTCGCACTTCCACTCAGTCACTCACCCAACCACTCAGTCACTTTGGCACTCAGTAACTCATTTATCAGCTCAGTCAATCAGTCACCCAATCACCCAGCCACTCAGTCACTCACTAGGGGCACCCACAGTGGCAGCCATCCCTGTGTATCATTCTGCCAGTTGTGTGACTTGCAATGTAAGAGTGGTGGCGTTTTGAAAGTGACCATGTGACACCAACGTGTTGCATCGTAGCATGCACGCTGTCGCTTACAAGTCGCATTAAATTATTCCAATGTCTGTGGTCGTGACCTGAGTTATGAATGATGCACACAAACACACACACACAGATGCACAGACACACACACAGACACACATAAACACACAGACACACACACGTAAACACACACACACAGACACACATAAACACACAGACATAAAAACACACGTACACACAAACACACACACAAACGCACACGTACAAACAAACACACACGTACAAACACACAAACACAACAACAACCGCCAATTGCCACTAAGTGGCGGTGACGTCACCACGATGCTTGTGCCAGGCCATGTGCACCTTGAGGCCACGTGAAGTGTCGAACGCCCGCTGGCAGGAGGTCGTACCCCAAGGTGTACAGGGAATGGCTCTGACTCCCGGCCACGTCGTTTTACCCGGGCCCGCTCACCATCATGAAGGTCCTTAATGATCGTGAGCAGAGGGTCGGGAACTCCAAAAGCACGAAGAACAACCCAGAGCCCAGGCCGACTGATGGTATCATAGGCCTTGACCAGGTCAATAAAGCAGAGATGTAGGTCTTGCTGGAATTCCCTACACCTCTGCTGTAGCAGACAGACAGAAAATATGGCATCTGTGCAGGACCGCCCTTTCCTGAAACCGCATTGGGGCTCCGCAAGCCTCTCCTCAGCGTGCCTGGCAAGGCGATGTTGAATAATCCTTGCCAGGACCTTTCCTGGCACACTGAGGAGTGAGATGCCCCTGTAGTTGTTACAGTCTGTGCGGTCCCCCTTCTTAAAGAGGGGGACCACCAGGGCATCCTTTCAATCCTGCGGAACCCGTCCAGTGGTCCAGACTTGTTATGATGTCATATAGGGCAGTCTGTGCACAAATGCCACCCTCCCTCCGCATTTCGCTTGGGAGATCATCTCTGCCCGGTGCCTTTCCTGGTCTCAGACTCCGGATCGCCTTCAGTACTTCCTCAACAGATGACACCTCAGCCAGCCACTCACAGGGGGTGACTTCCTCCAATATGTGAGGCACCGCAGCCTCAGCAGGGTCATCCTCACCTTGTGCCACGATGTTTTCCTGGCGGAGGGATTTCCTCTCCCCCAGGACCTCACAGAAATGGATCACCGTTTTTTCCCCTAATGATGGTAATATGTGTGGCGCTGCAGGTTACTTTTTTGATGGAGTTAAATAGAGATTTGTGATCGCGGGCCACTGAGGCAGACTCCATCTCCTCAGCAACCCGCGACCACCACCCATCCTTGCAGCGCCTCACGGCTCTCCGAACCTCCAAGCGAAGACTGCGGTAAGCCTCATTCTCTGACGTGGGATTATGTAGCTGATGAGAGTGGGCCTGTCGCTTTTTCTCAACCATCCTGAACACCTCCTCTGTCAGCCAGGGTCTTTGGGGGGACCGCGTACCCTAAGCAGCCATTGAAGCTGCCTGAGTCACAGTCCTAAACCTCGCCCATTTACCCTCGACATCAGGAGAAGTGGGGGACGATGCCAACCCCAGCCGCAAGCGATGATGAAATTCTCGCTTGCAACTTTCATCAGATAACTGAGACCAGGCCACTTTAGGTTGGAATGGGGTCCTGCATCTTACAGATGACTAGTCGATGGTCAGAGGGCAGATCAGCTCCACGGTAGGTGCTGGTGTCAAGGACATGGGCTCGCATCTGCTGGTCCATCACTATGTAGTCCAGCAGATGTTCGTGCTTGGACCCGGCATGCATCCATGATGTTGTGTGGATGCGCCAATGCCGGAACAGCGTGTTGGTAATTACAAGCCCATGGGCTGCACAGAAATCTAGCAGCCTCCTACCGTTATTGAGCTGATCTGGCCCATGCCCTCCAATCACTCCAGACCAGGTGCCAGCATCATGACCAACTCGAGCATTGAAGTCACCCAACAAGATGACTATCCCGAGGGGCCACTTTAGCTAGCACCTGTGACAGGAGGTCATAGAAGGCATCTGATTCATCGGATTTGCCTGCATCCCTCCACGGATGTTCGTCTTCAGGGGGGTGCATAAGTAACCATGATCACCACTCCTAGCCTTCGGTTGATGGGAAGGCGAGCCCAAATTAGCCTGGGGCTTACAGCTTCCCACACCTCTCCGCCATGCTCCCACGCCCCCTTCATTCTTTTGTTCAAAAGAAGAGCCACATCCTGTTGTTTGGCAGTCTGCTGCCCCGAGTAGAGGACTGTCCACCCCTCATGGTGGCAGGAGCCAGAACCGGTCCACCGGACCTCCTGAATGCCACAGAGATCCAGGCGGAACCGGTCCAGCTCCCGACAGAGGAGTGGCAGCCTCTCCTCTGCAGTGAGCGTTCGAACATTCCACGTGGCCACATGAAGTGGCTTTTCGTTGTTTCTGTAGGAGCCCCGAGGGTAGATATTCAATCTCCTGGCTCCGCAAATTGGGGTTTGGCCAGGAGACGTCATAGACGCCTGTCCCCCCCGGGGCCTCCGGCACAAGCTTATTAGTTACATATTTAATTCGTGGTTTCGTGGTAATTTATTGAAGGTAGGAGGGGTTACCAGCCCCTCGCACCCATCCAGAGCCCCTGTTTAGCCACTGTGGTGGTCACAGACGCCATGAGGGGAGAGGCCAATCGGAATTGGCCCTCCCCCCACAGCACTGTCCACGACAGAGTTGCCCGTCCGGCACCGCGAGGAGGTAGGGGGTTGTTTTGCCACACCATATATACAACACATACATACACATACATACATACAACACACAAACAACACACATACACAACACACACATACAAACATACAACACAACACTCACGCACACAGAACACACAACACGCATACCCACAAACACATACATACAAACACACACATACATACAAACAACACACATACATACACAACACATACATACACAAACACAACAAACAACAACATACACACATAACACACAAACAACACACACAAACATAACATACACAACACACATACAAACATAACACACAAACACATACAAACAACAGCGGTCGCTCGCCGCTAAGTGGCGCTTGTGCCAGGCTTGGTGCACACAGCGTTATGCAGCTGATACAACAGATAATGCTGGTCTGACGCAGGATCTGAGTATCTCTGACACGGCCATTATGAACCCCACAGAGAGACACCCAGACCCAGGGGTTGAACCCAGACCCTCAGTATCTCTGGCTTAGTGAACCCCACTGAGAGAGAGACACCCAGACCCACGGATTGAACCCAGACCCTCAGTGTCTCTGGCTTAGTGAACCCCACTGAGAGAGAGACACCCAGACCCAGGGATTGAACCCAGACCCTCAGTGTCTCTGGCTTAGTGAACCCCACTGAGAGAGAGACACCCAGACCCAGGGGTTGAACCCAGACTCTCACTGTTTACGACACGGCCATTGTGAACCCCCTGAGAGACAGAATCATAGTGGGTAGTTTACAAATGAGTACCTGGTGCGGTGTGTAGTAAACATCGCCACTAGGGAGACAAAGGCTGTCGGGCGTGGTGCTGGCCACCCACCCCCTCGTGTTCCGTTCCGACCTTCAGAGGTGCTCGCTAACAGCACTTGCCCCCACAGTCTGTCAAGGCTATACGGGGGACCTTTGCCTTGGTTTGGTGGTGGTTGCAGCTCCACTGCTGGACAGCAGAGGGCGCCAGATCCTCGCAGACGAACCCGTGCCCGATATAGACAAAGGTCCCCCGTGTAGCCTCTAGCAGGCTGCAGGGGCAAGTGCTGTTAGCGAGTAGCACCACCTATAGATACACAGACAAAGCTCCCCCGTGTAGCCTCTAGCAGGCTGTAGGGGCAAGTGCTGTTAGTAGCGAGTAGCAGCAGCACCCTGTAGACACAGACAAAGGTCCCCCGTGTAGCCTCTAACCAGGCTGTAGGGGCAAGTGCTGTTAGTAGCGAGTAGCAGCAGGGCCAATGCAGGCTCCCGGCACTGTGGCACACACGAGGCAGGCGACACCACGCCCGGCCGCCTTTGTCTCCCCAGTGGCGATGGTCACCACACACCACTGCACCTAGGGGAGTGTCCAGGACCGGTTCAGATAATCGTCACCGGTGGTGTTGGTGGTGGTGGTGTTGGTAGTGGTGGTTTTGGTGGTCATAATAAAGGTTTTTGGGTTAGATCGCGTTATTTATGAATGTGTCATAACCCTCCACCACCCGACACGGCCAATCAGCAAAATAGAGTGTCACGTTGACAAAAGACAAATAGTTCACCACTTTAGCCCACCGGTGTGTTGAAGAGTGAATCCACAACATTTACAGTTTGAATACGACGTTTCGCTGGTAATTACATCCAGCATCATCGGGTGGTGGTGGTGGTGGTAGTGTTGGTGGCGGTGTTGGTGGTGGTGTT